CTTTCTGGAATAAATTAAAAATAATAAAATAAAATAAAATTTACTTGAGAACTTAATTATAAATTGGTAGGTGATGATAAATTGTGAATTTGGAAATTTAATTCTAATTAATATTAGGAAGATTGGTCATTACTCAGAAATGGTAATACAGTAGGAGATATGAGAACTATCTCATAAATTTGTCAAAATGTATTAGGCATAAGAATTTTTTTTTAACAAGTTAAAAATTTTTTTTTTATTAATTTCAGAGAGGAAGACAGGGAGAGATAGAAACATCAATGATGAGAGAGAATCATTGATTGGCTGCCTCCTGCACACCCCTTTCTGGGGATGGAGCCCTAAACCTGGGCATGTGCCCTTGACTGCAATTGAATCTGGGACCCTTCAGTCTTCAGGCCAACGTTCTAACCACTCAACAAAACCAGCCAGGGGTAGGCACATGAAGTTTGGATGTGAAGTTGGCTGTACGGCTGTTTAAAATGAGCATTCCATTTCCAAAAACCTCTTCAGAGAAGAAGTGCACAGATTGAGCTTATTTCTGCATAATAGCAAAAACCAAAACAATAGTTAAATGTATCTCTAGAGACCAATTAAATTATGATATATCAATACATCTAAGTATTATACAGCTGTTTAAAAAGACTAAACTGGTACTGTATGTATTAACATGCTTAGCTTTCTAATATATGTTAAATAAAAATATGCACAGCCCTGGGCTGGTGGTTCAGTTGGTTGGAGTGCCATCCCATGCACTAAAAGGCTGTTGGTTTGATTCTGGTGAGGGCACATAACCTAGATTATAAGTTTGATCCCCAGTCGGGGTGTTTCCAGGAGGCAACTAATCAGTGTTTCTCTCTCCCTCTCCCTTCCTCTCTCTAAAATAAATTTTAAAAAACCCCACACTTTTGGAATCACTGAATTGAGTTTGTCTGCAGTATTATTGTTGAAGTGGTTATTCAACAATATAAGAGTTTTGTAGTATGCTAATATTTATTAAAAATTTAGGGCCTCTAGAAAAGGAAAAACATATATAAGGTAGGAGTTCAAAAGTAAGATGTATATCTATTTTTAAATCTCTACTGTGCTGTTTTTCTATTTCAGTTACCTAGAAAAGTACGAGAAAGTTCATCATTTTGGGGAGGATGATGATGAAGTACCACCAGGCAATCCAAAGCCACAGCTTCCTATTGGTGCAATTCCATCTTCCTACAATTACCAGCAACACAGTGTATCAGGTAAATTGGAAATTGACAGGGCATAGGTCCACAGTTTTGAATTAGGAAAATAAATAATATCCAATGACTTAATCCCTTAATTAAAGACTTAATATAACGTTCAAAGATCAACATCTAATTGGTATCAAGGCCTTTCTATCATAGGATTCATGAGGTTTTTAGTTGTAGCATTTTCCAGACTTACAAATACGTTTACTTTAAAAAAAATTATTTTATTGTTGAGAGTATTACAGATATCCTCCATTATCCTCCTTTGCCCCTCTCTTTTCATCCCCCCATACCTATCTCCCCCCCTCCACCCCCCCTACCAAAAGGCGGATACTTTTAAGTGAAGTTTTTCTCTTACTTCTTTGGCTAATAATCAGTTTAACCTTAATAGTTACTAACATGAGAAGAGAAAGATTCAGTTAGGATTAGAGAAGTCAAGAATACTTAGATAGCATCTACTAGATTTACTACAATTATTGAAATTTCCAGCACCAGAATTCCTCAGAAATGTTCCTAACTATTCAACTATTTTCCTGGTGTGGTACCAGTAATAAGATTTTCTTTTTATATTTAAGTCATTCTTGTAATAGTTATAGAGGAATCTGCAGCTAAAAAGAACAGTACTCAAGTTGGAAATAATCAGGTTGGAGTCTAATAATAAAGAGGTTCCTGAGGCAGAGTAGATGGAGGTTCTAGTGTTTAGTGAGTTTGGAGGTTGGGAATGTGATACCTAGGAAGAAAGCTCTGAAGAGATAAACATGTCTTCTTTAATTACCAACATTTGGCCTAAAAAAGAGGAGATAATGTCTTTTACAGGGGTATATTCTTTATAAAATATAAAATGATCTGATATTTATTATTCTTTGTTGGTGCTAGTCCCAATTTCTTATAGGTAATCCTTAAACTCATTTGTGCTTTTTATTGTTTATTTTTATAACAGGGTTTTATTTTTTATAGAAGCAACATCATACAATAACTTCCTTTTTAAACTTTATAATGTATCATGGACACCCCTCCCTCTAATTTATCCTTTTTAATAGTTGTGTATTCCATAGTAAAGATGTACGTTTCTTTTTTTACTTTATTTTTGACACTTTATTTGTACTTTTCAAATTTTATTTTCTATTATTATCTATTTTCAAAGTTTCTTCCATGTTGAATTTGACTCCCTTTTTCTCCTCCAATCAGTAAAAACTGAAGAAACAATCTGTGATCTCCTTTAGAAGAGGCTTCATATATGAGATGGTTTTATATAATTGGGGTAGATGGTGATGAATGCAAACCAAACCTACCTTCATTTTTTTTTCAGCTTTTTACAGGCCTTTAATTTATAACCTCTCTTTGACTCCATAGAAAAGCCAATTTAAAAATTAAGACATCTTTTAATTAGGACAGATCATTAAGCAAGACCATCTGTATTTGATTCAAAGAACCTTTGATTATACCATTGTTCCATATTTTACCCTAATCTCAGAAATGCGTCAATATGTATGTTAAAGTAACTATTAATTTTTCACTGTCAATGGTATACAACCCAAATTTGTCTACATTTATTATTTCAAGACCTAAAAAAAATGTCTCAGAAGTAACGAGGTAGGCCCTATGGAAAGGAACAAAAAGCCATCTTTGCATGCCTGCACAACAGCACCTTTCCAAGACAACGGAGAAACAAACATCTAAAGAGATTTAAAGAAAAAAACAATTAAAATATTTATACTTAAACAATCTGTCTTTCAAGCATGAGGGCAAAGAAAGCGATCCTTTGATATGTATTGTCTCAGAAAGTCTAGCTTCATTTTTAATGAGTAGTCATTACCTGAAGAACCAAAATTAAAGAACATTTTAAGTCACCATGTAGAAGATCTTGCTAATAGTTTAGCTGAAAATAAAATGGGGTGACTTGTTAGGTGATGTTTCCTGATCCTAACAAGGGTTAGTGGCCATTAATTATCTTATTCAGGGATATTATAGAGGTATTCTTATATTGAAAGAATCATTGTGCTAATGACTTTTAAGACCATTTTCAGCTTCATGACTCTGTGGTTCCTATATTATAAGTAACTAGTGGCCCGGTGCACGAAATTCATGCGGGGGGGGGGGGGTCCCTCAGCCTGGCCTGCACCCTTTCCAATCTGGGACCCCTTGGGGGATGTCCGACTGCCGGTTTAGTCCCTCTCACAATCCGGGACTGCTGGCTCCTAACCGTTCACCTGCCTGCCAGCCTGCTCGCCCCCAACTGCCCCTCCACCAGCCTTCTCACCCCCAGCTGCCCCAACTTGCTGGCCTGATTGTCCTCAACTGTCCCCCCTGCCAGCAAGCTTGCCCCAAACTGCCCCTCCTGCTGGCCTGATCACGCCCAACTGCCCCCCACTGCCAGCCTGCTTGCCCCCAATTGCTGCCCCTGCTGGCCTGCTTGCCCCCAACTGACACCCCCCTGCCGGCCTGATCACCCCCAACTGCCCTCCCCTCCTGGCCTGATAGCCCCTAACTTCCCCTTCCTCGGCCCTGCCACTATGGCTTTGTCTGGGCAGCGGCCACGGAGCCGGCTGGGGCGACCAAGGAAGCCAAGCCGGCTGGAGAGGAAGCCAAGCCTCCTGCGCCCGCTGTCCAGCCGGCTGGGGCAACCAAGGAAGCCAAGCCTCCTGCGCCCGCTCTTTGGCCGGCTTGGCTCCGTGGCTCTGGCCAGCACCGCCATCTTTGTCGTGTCAATTTTCATATTCCCTCCTTATTGGCAGTGGGTGCTGCCATCTTTGTCTAGAAGTGATGGTTAATTTGCATATTACTCTTTTATTAGATAGGATAGCATTACTGTCCATTATTGTAGCTTAAAAAGAGTTTGATGTTTGCTGTTACAGATCCTTAAACTGATCCACTTATGTGTTTGATGTTGTTTAAAGAGAATTTTTTTCTGGATCTGGTTCTCTTTCCTCCTCTAATTAAAACAGATTTACTTCAAGAAACAAGATGGAAAATATTTCTGGTATTTCACAAGTCTAATGGAAATTATCCATGGAGCTATACAAGTTAAGGGAATGACAGAATTGCTTAACCGGGTGTTATAACTTCTTTCTGATATGCTGTCATATGTCGGTTGTTGTTTTTTAAGGATAATCTTAGCAGTTATGTAACATATATTGCATGCTTGATAAAATCAGGATTGGGAACTCATGAAAGGAAAGACACTAGGAATTAGGAATTGCTGGTGAATATCCAACTATAATATTTTAATTTAAACTGAAAAATTGTAGTGTTTGAGGGCAGCATTTATGAATTTTAAGGTGCTTTTTATTTTTCTAGAAGGAGCCATAGCAACATTATGACAGTGTTCTAAAAATTAACATGATTATCACTATGCAAAATAAATTATTCATTGATGATTCTTTTGAAATATCATTAAGAAAAATAAAGTGTGTGTGTGTGTGTGTGTGTGTGTGTATGTTTTAAATAAACACCCAAACACCCAAACAGAATTACATAGTGTTAGATTAAGAGCTTTTAGGAAATTTTAGTTAAAACCTATAAAAGAGTTGGGTTTACATCTTTGATTATACAGCCTTTCTCTCCTTGTAGGTAAGTGTATTTATCTAGAGATACTTATTGTTGATATTAAAAAAAAACTATTCTAAAACAATATTTTGAATAATAGATTTTGATTGGCAGTCACCTCCAGGGTATTTGGTATAAAGTGTAGTTCTATTTATAATTTTCATAATTGAGAGAATAAATGGAATACTGTACATTGATATGGGACCAAATTTTCCTTTAAGGATAATGGTTACCTTAGCCCAATGACTTTAAATGACAAAAAATATTGAGAAGATTTTGCTTTGAACTTTAGGGTTATTCAACTTTGGCATCAGTACATGTGGTTGTATCATTTATTTGCATCGTTTTTCTTGTCATAAACACCTAATCCTTTGGCTTTCCTCTTTCTCTATCCTCCCCTCCTCCCTGCCCCTTGGTATTGATTTCAATACCGTCTGTTCTGCAGAACTGTAGAGTAAAATTATTAAGGATGTTTTGTTCATCTTTTCTTACATTTTTTAAAATTAAAATTCAATTTTTTAAATTAAAATAAAATTGTTTCTTTGCAATGTCTTTAGTAGAAAAATTATGGAAGGCAAAACTGAAAAATAAAAAAATTGAAATTAATAGAACTATAGAATTTCAGAGCTAACCTTGATTTTAGTGATTATTTAATCCAATCCAGTTATTTTGATAAAAAAAGACCAAGTACCCTGTCCATTTACATTTTTGGTATTTAAATTTCAGAAAGTTTCATACTGGAAGATTTAGTTTTTTTAGTTCTATAAGTTGTACTTGAGCAAAAATTTTCCCTTAATTGTCTCATATTCTAACAGACATTTGCACTACAACAATCACTGTCCTATGAATGGAAAGAAAGCTCTCTAGGAACAATTCTCCTTTTCCTCTAACCTGAAAACAAAGAGTTGTGGTTGCCTAATATTAAGTTTGTCAGCCATGATCCATTTGTATAAACTTTGAGTCAAGAATCCTATATAATAAAATCCTAATATGCAAATTGTCCTCTCGACCAGGAGTTCTGCTGGGAGTTCGACTGGGTGACCCGGAGTTTGACCGCTCGCTATGATGTGCGCTGACCACCAGGGGGCGGTGCAGAACATGGTGTACGTCGGCGATGTGGCGCTGGCAGCAGGTGGCAGTGGTATCTCTGCCGCGCTTCGGTCGCTGGCCAGGCCTAGGGACTGCACCTGTGCACGAATTTCGTGCACCGTGCCTCTAGTGTTGAAAATAATTTCCAATCCCATTTTGAGTGTAAAACTGTAGCTGTTTGATCATATCTCCTTGGGTAGAGAAAGGGGAGGTTCTTCAAATCTTATAAGCATTTTTTCCTACATTATCTTAGGAATCATTACCAAGCCTGATATAATTAAAGGACTGTTCATAATTATTTATTTATTTGTGTTGTTTCTAATTTTTTAAATTTTTAAATATTTTGGTATTTTTTTGTTTTGATTGGAGGTGTCTTTGGCAAAGTTATTCAGGTAAGGATGTATTGAATTGAGTATCTGATGTCACAGACAGAACAATTCTAAGATCTTATTGAAAGCACTTAAAACTTGACAGACAATAAATGTAGGTTCCAAATTTTTTTCTGTTGAAGAGATTTGTTTAAAGGTTTCATGGAATCTAAAAACTCTTGCTGAGACTTGGGTTCTTATAATCAGTTACCATATGTAATATAGAAATATCAAAATCTATTCCTTTTTCACAGAAGTTTTGTTAGTTTTTTTCACAGGTATTTATTTTCTGGTATTTATGAAATACTTGATTTCAAGACTAGAGGCTCGGTGCACGAAATTTGTGCATGGGGTGGGGGGAGGGGTCCCTCAGCCTGGCCTGCACCCTCTTCCATCCGGAATCCCTCTCGCAATCCGGAACCACTGGCTCCTAACCACTCGCCTGCCTGCCTGCCTCATCGCCCCTAACTGCCTCTGCTTGCCAGCCTGATCGCCTCCTAACTGGTCCCCTGCCAGCCTGATCACCCCCTAACTGCTCCCATGTCCACCTGGTCACCCCCTAATTGCCCCCCAGCCAACCTGGTCACCCCCTAACTGCCCCTGTCAGCCTGGTTGCCCCTTAACTGTCCCCCTACTGGCCTGGTCACCCCCTAAGTGCCCTGTAGGCCTGGTTGCCCCCTAACTGCCCCCCTGCTGGCCTGGTAACCCCCTAACTGCCCCCCTGCCAACCTGGCCACCCCCTAACTGCTCCTGCTGGCCTGGTCACCCCCTAACTGTCCTGTTGGCGGGCGCCCCTTAATGCCCCCCTGCTGGCCTGGTAACCCCCTAACTGCCCCCCTGCCAACCTGGTCACCCCCTAACTGCCCCTGCCCGGCCTGGGTCACCCCTTAAACTGCCCCTGTTGGCGTGGTCGCCCCTTAACTGTCCCCCTGCCAGCCCGGTCACCCCCTACCTGCCCCTGCCGGCCTGGTCACCCCTTAACTGCCCCCCTGCCGGCCTGGTTGTCCCCTAACTGCCCCCCTGCTGGCCTGGTCACCCCCTAACTGCCCCCCTGCTGGCCTGGTCACCCCCTAACTGCCCCTGTCAGCCTGGTTGCCGTCTAACTGCCCCCCTGTCAGCCTGGTTGCTGTCTAACTGCCCCCCTGTCAGCCTGGTCGCTCCCTAACTGCTCCCCTGACAGCATGATCACCCCTAACCACCTCTGCCTCGGCCCCCACCACTGTGGCTTTGTCTGTAAGGACGTCCGGAAGATGTCCGGTCTAATTAGCATATTACCCTTTTATTAGTATAGATTATTAAAATGAACAGCATGTTATTGTTCAACCTTAAATATGGTAAAGAATCTGTTCATAGTCATTTATAACTATATTGTGGGATTTCTTCACTATTATATTATTGGAGAAATTCTTAGAATATTTTAGAATTGAAGAGGTGTCTCCTCAAATGTCTATATTGGAAAATAAAGAAATTTCTTTACCTACATGATTTTCTTCAGTGACATGTTGTGGCAATGCATCCCTACTTTGTATTCTAGTTTTTTCTTAATCCATGTTTCTGAAATGTTTTATCTAGAATCACTTTAACTTGTCTTTTTGCCTCTTCCCATTAAACTAGTTATATCTTATTAGAGACCTGGTGCACGGATTCATGCACTGGTGGGGTCCCTCAGCCTAGCCTGCACCCTCTCGCAATCCGGGACCCCTTGGGGGATGTCAGACTGCGGGTATCTAGCTGAAACCGGCAGTCTGACCATCCCCCGAGGATGAAGTAGTGGTGAAGTGGCAGGTGTCCGGGGAGAAGCCCAAGCCTGAGGTGGGCGCCACGCTGCTCCCACTCATCCCAGCCCTACTGCGCCTGCTGCCACTGCTGCTCGGATTAGCTCAGTGATCGGCGCTCCCTCTGTGGGAGCTCACTGACCTCCTGGGGGCAGCTCCTGCATTGAGCGTCTGCCCCCTGGTAGTTGGTGCGCATCATAATGATAGGTCTACTGGTTGAAAGGTTGACCCGTTGCTTAGGCTTTTCTATATATAGACTAGGGGCCCAATGCAAAAAATCATGCAAGGTCCTTGTCCCTGGCCCCCGCCTGCAGCTACCGTGGCCGGAGGCCTCTGCTGCCTCTGCCTCAGCTCCCACCCGCTGCGGCTTTGTCCAGAAGTATGTCTGGTCTAATTAGCATATTACGCTTTTATTATTATAGATATGAAAAATATACTTGGGGTAGATGTCTCAGGACATAGCTTTCAAGGCCTAAACTGCCCCAATTAAGAGTCAGTATTTCTAGAAATATAACATCTTCTTATATATTATGATTAAACATTCTGTAACCCCATCTTCCCTACCTTCAAAATCCCAAAATTGTTTTAAATTAATTCCCTTGCGGAAAATTTTAGTTACCTTGGGTTAGGAAAAAATGTTTAGGACATATGAAGTGTAAAGGTGAAAATGTATAAATCAGACTTCATAAAAGTAAAACTTGTACTCTGAAGATACTGTTAAGAAAATGAAAAGACAAGCCATTATCTGGGAAAAATATTTACAAAACAAATAAGATAAGTGACTCATCAGAATATTTAAAACTGACAATATCAAGTGCTGACAAGGATGCAGAGCAACAGGAACTCTCCACATTGGTGGTAGAAAGGCAAGATGTTAGAGCCAGCATACACTTTTGTATGACTCAGCAACCTAAGAGAAATAAATTTGAAAAAGTCTGCATAAGGTCCTGTATGTGAATGTTTATAGCAATCCTATATAATAAAAGCATAGTATGCAAATTGTCCCCTCGACCGGAGTTCTTCTGGGGCCGGCTGGGGGAAGGTGGCAGGGGAAGAGAGGGAGTACCCAGCCAGCAGCTGGCAGCCACTAGGGACCCTACCAGTGCATGAATTTTATGCACTGGGCCTCTAATTGTATTCCTAAGTGCCAAAAACTGGACAGAGTACAAATGTTCCTCATCTGGGGAATGGATAAACAGATTTTGTTAACCCATACTATAACAGTAAAAAGGCACAAACTACTGACATACAAATCAACATGGCCATTAACCTCAAAAGCATCTTGCTAAATAAAAGAAATCAGGCCTAGCCAGTTTGGCTCAGTGGATAGAGCGTCGGCCTGCGGACCAAAGGGTCTGGGTTTGATTCCGATCAAGTGCACATACCTCGGTTGCAGGCTTCTTCGGGCCCGGGCATGTGCAGGAGACAACCAGTCGATGTGTTTTTCTCACATTGATATTTATATTTCTTTCTCTCTTTCCCTCTCTCCCACTCTCTCTAAAAATTAATGGAAAAAATATCCTTGGGTGAGGATTAAAACAAAAATAAATCAGACACACTTACTGTATGATTCCATTTATTTGGCATTCTGAAATAAAGTTATAGGAACAGAAAGGAGATTAGTGATTGTGAGTAGAAAGCATAAGGGATTTGACTACAAAGGAGCTTTTAAAGAAACTTTTTGGGTGATGGAATTACTATATCTTCATTGTGGTTGTGGTTAAAAGACTGTATTTATCAAAATTCATAACTATAGAACTAAAAGTTATGAATTTTACTTTGTTAATTATATCATAATAAATCTAACTTTAAAAGGGAATAATTCTGCCCTGGCCTGTGTTTCTCAATGGTTAGGAAGTTGGCCCACACACCGAAGGGTTGTGGGTTCGATTCCTGGTCAAGGGCACGTAACTGGATTGCAGGTTCAATCCCTGACCCCATTGAGAGGTAACCAATCGATGTATCTCTCATGTGGATGTGTCTCTCCTCTTCCCTCCCTCCCTTCCATTCTCTCTCTCTAAAAAAAAAAAAAAAAAAAATCAATGGAAAAAATATCCTCAGGTGACGATTTACAAAAAAGGAATAATTCTACAATTAGGTAAAGAAGATAGGCAGTGTGTGTAAAATCATGATATTGTTAAAAATTTTAAAGGAACCAGTCCACTAGCTTTATAGTATACTTATATAAAAATCAGAATAAGTCCTTCGAAATGCAAGTTTATAAAAAGTGTAGACCAATTAAAATAACAACACAATAATAATTTGATAGTCATATCCAAGAGGGCATGTACATTTTTTCTATTTTAATACTTTCTGAAGAATATAATTTTAATTTAGGAAGTTTACAAAATTGAACTCTTAAAAAAAGTTGAATTCTTTAATTCACTTAATTTATATTAAAAACACACACAACAAGCTCCTATCTTTTATTCAGAGGATATTAACAACAATGGTTTCTATTCCTTGATAAACATAAGGTGTTTTTGTTTTTATCTTTGTTAGATTATCTTCGTCAAAGTTATGGGCTATCTATGGACTTCAATTCGCCAAATGATTATAACAAATTGGTGCTTTCACTGTTATCTGGACTCCCAAATGAAGTGGATTTTGCTATTAATGTATGCACTCTTCTGTCAAATGAAAGCAAACATGTCATGCAACTTGAAAAAGACCCTAAAATCATCACTTTATTACTTGCTAATGCTGGGGTGTTTGACGACAGTAAGTTTTAAGCCGAACACATTGAATGATCATTCTATAAAGGTGTTATAGGTTTTGTTTTTAAGTTATTTAAGGAGAAAAGTACTTTTTATTAGTCAATATAATAACATTTTTTATTTGTTTTATTTAAATGTATTTAAAATAATGAATGTTTGCATTTTTAACTAAACAGTTTAGATCAGTGCATTTAAAAATTTGCTGCCTAAATAATCAACATAGGATTTATCAAATATTTCATATCCTTTATACTTGTAATGTTTACAGAGGTATAGGTTTTTATAAATCAAGTTTTTTATTTTCTGTGAAATTAATCTCTTACTAAATCTAGGTTTTCTTCAGACCAAATAGTTCAGTTCTCTACTTGTAGTGTAATAGTTTAATAGAGATTAAGAAAATATCTTTTGAAATCTTTTCTTGCTCATAGTTTTTCTTTTTAAAATATCCATGTTAGCTGAATGTTATTAATACAAATATTTATTTGCTCCTCAACCCTCCTACCCCAACACCATTGTAACTTCTTTTTCCAGAAGTATATGCTATTAAAAGGTAAAGTATTCACTTACGATGAAATTATTTTATATAGGAAATATATATATATATGGCACAATCGACACAGCCTGAGAATTTCTTGTAATACTTTATAGATTCAAGATTTTTTAAATCTATAAATAGCAACATGTTTGCAAATTTCTTTCTTTTTCTGTGATTTGATTTGTGTCAAGTATACTTTCAAACATAAATTTATAGGGATCATCTAAGTAGGATTCCTTAATTTGACATGTACTTATTTTATATGAAGGCAATTTCGAAATTAGCTTAAACAATAGTGGGAATTAGTTTCTTACTTTTTCTGAAACGATTCTTATTCTTGGTTACATGGGGAAGGGACAGAGATCAGTACTTCTCAGTTTATATCTTAATTTTTAAGATCTAAATTTGGTGATTTCCATCTCAATTTTATGTTCTTTGATTCCTAATATTTTCTTTATTTTTTAAATTTTATTTTTCAATTACAGTTTGCATTCAGTATTATTTTTAATTAGTTATTTTGGTATTTTAAAGATATAACGTTCAGCGTTTAATATTGAATGAAGTTTAAAATTGTTCCACCTTAAAATGAAGTTTTTAGAAAGAATATTCTCAAACCAGAATAATCTTTTTTTGAAGTCTTATCATTTAATCACTGAATAAGGATTAAACATGTATATTTGATAGAAGTAATGTTAACAGTTTTGGTTCACTGAAGTATGATATTTTTTAGACCCAATTTATCTTACATTCTTTAAGCATTTTTATTTACCTAAAACAATAAATTATTCAGTGTAGCAATTTAAAACATTAATAATGTAGAAAATGCAATTTAGGAAGGTCAGAAGTTTAGCATTCCAGAGTACAGAGACTTTTTGAAGTCCCCATACTTAAAACACTGTTTTAACATTATGAAAATGATTTATTTGAATTTGAGAATTATGGGTATATTTGATTTGGTTAGGGTTTTGAGAGGTTTTGATTTTTTTTTTAGGGCATGGAATTTTAATTGAGCGATAAATATATTGCCACTTTGAAAATGTGGAATGTTGATACACTTTGTGTTTGAAGACATATAATAAAAGTAACAAAAAATTAATTTTCCATCTAATATTTGTTTTCATAATTTGAAATACTATTTCAAAAGAGATTACTATGACTTTCTATCATTTACTATGAAACAGTTTTTAGTGAACAAGAAATCTTAAAATGTGTTTTTACCGTTTTTCTACACCTACCTATTATTAAGGAATTAAGTGATAAAAATAATTCCATGCTATTGAATATACTATTCTTTTAGCTTTAGGATCCTTTTCTACTGTATTTGGAGAAGAATGGAAGGAGAAGACTGATAGAGATTTTGTTAAGGTAATTTTGAATACATTTTTAAAAAGATTGAATCACTGTATTCATGTAGCCAAGGGCCAATATCATGTATATGTCATTTATTTACATGATACTACCTATACATTAATCTTTATCGTAATACATAGAGATATCTACTTAAAAGTTGTGATTAAGTTTCATAAAGTGCTTTTAGAATAGCTAATAAACGGAAATAAAGTTCTTATTCTAATAAACATTGATTTCTGAAAATGATAAATCTGTAATAAAACAATAAATCTGAGGAAACCCAGATTCTGAGCAGCAGTGTAATTTCCTAATGGCTGTTTTTCAGTTTGTTTAATGACTCTTTAGCTGTGTCTAATATTCCACTTGACTCATCTTTTAAGTTTTATTTTAGTGATTGTTTTAATTTCTAGAAATTCATTTTGTAATTTTCCAAAGTAGCCCTTTAATGTTTTTAATAATTTTAATTTATATATATTCAAAGTATATTAAAAAGATAAAATTTATTAATATATCAATTACATATAATATGTAAACAATATATATTATATATAAATTGTAAATTACACACACAGACATGTACATCTGATAAATCTGATATCTAAGCCTCTTGCAACTCTTTCTACTCTACTTTTGTGTTTTATAATGTTGGTTTATAAATTTCAGCAGACCTGTTTATGTGGGATTTTTTTTTTTACAGGTTAAACGGAGAGTTTATTTCTCCACTTCTGTATTGCATTTGCCAAAAACTGAAAAGAAATACTGATCAGAATGACTTTATATTAGTTTCTTTAGTGGAGCTTTCAAATAACTCTGATAGTAAAACAAAACTCATGCGGGTTCTAGAGCAGGCTAGTAGTGAAATATTTAGGGGATTGTTTTTTAACTCAAAGCTCAAGTAGAGACAATCTTTTTTATCTCCCTTCTTTTGAGGTTACTAGACTTTCACATTTCTCACATGATACGAAGTTGCATTTCAAATTCTCCACTTCACAAGCCGACACAAAGACCTGTCCTCACCCTACCCATTAAAATCTAAGCCTCTTGATTGTAGTTAAGCAGATAACTTTCTTTAACTCCAGAATATTGGTAATTAAGTATAAGATGTTCAAAATGTTTATTTACATATTTACATATGCAATCACAAAGGAGAGTGGGGCTGTCAGTATAATCACTAATCACATGAAATCAGAAAGACACAAATAAGTTAAGAATGATTAGATGATCATCTCTGTTGTATTTTTTTATTAATTTCTGCTATTTATATTATTTTTGATATGCTATGTTCTTTGGGTTTAATTTGCTACACAATTTCTAACTTCTTAATCTGGTGTTTACATCATTGATTTTTGTTTTTATTTTTTCTAATACATTTAAATCCATAAAATTCCCTATAAGCACACATTTAACTTTATTCTTTCCATTTTAATATTTCATCTTTAATTCTGCTTAAAATATCTTCTAATTACCATTATGCTTTACTCTTTGGTACATGAATTAGTTGAAGGGAATTTTCTTAATTTTCAAAAACATAGGACTTTTTAAAAGATATATTGATTCTTAGAGAGAGGGGGAAAGAAAAGGAGAGAGAAGGAGAAAAACATCAATGTGAGAGCAAAACATCATTTAGCTGCCTCCTGCATGCCCCAACTGGGGATGGAGCCCAAAACCGGGCATGTTCCCTGACTGGAAATCAAACCACCAACCCTTTAGTGCATGGGAGAATGCCCAACTAACTGAGCCACATTGGTCAGGGTCATATGAATTTTTTTTTTAGTTTTCTATTTCTTATTAATATCTAACTGAATTTCACTATAGTTATAGTTTTCTAGTCTATTGTACATACTGTAAAGTATATTTTTTTGCCTTTAAATCTACTTTTTTTTCCCTGTCTGATACCAGTATAACCATGTCTACTTTCATTTGGTAGGTGTTTATCTTTCTTTGTGTGTGTGTGTGTGTGTGTGTGTGTGTGTGTGTGTGTTTTAATTGATTTTTTAAAAAACTCTTTAATATTGAGAATATTACATATGTCTTCTTTTTCCTCCATTGACCTTTCCCTGCCCGCTTCTGTCCCCTTGCACAGGCCCTCACCTCCCTACTGTCTGTGTCCATTGGTTCTGCTTATATGCATACATAAAAGTCCTTTGGTTGATCTCCCCCACCACCACCACCACCACTTCCCCTGACCCACCCCTGTCTTCCCTCTGTTTGATGCTTCTATGTCTCTGGTTCTATTTTTGTTCATCAGTATGGAGTTTCCTCAAAAAATTAAAAATGAAACTCCCATTTGACCCAGTAATCTTACTTCTAGGAATATATCCCAAGAAATCAGAAACACCAATCAGAAAGAATATATGTACCCCTATGTTCATAGCAGCAACATTTACAATAGCTAGGACTTGGAAACAGCCTGAGTGCCCATCAGCAGATGAGTGGATTGAAAAACAGTGGTAAATCTACACAACGGAATACTATGCTGCTGTAAAAAAGAAAGAACTCTTACTATTTGCAACAGCACGGACAGACCTGGAGAGCATTATGCTTAATGAAATAAGCCAGTCGGGGAAAGATAAATATCACATGATCTCACCCATTTGTGGAATATAATGTTTTAATTGATTTTAAAGAGAGAGGAAGGGAGAGGGAGAGAGAGATAGAAACCTCAATCGGCTGCCTCCTGCATGCCCCCTACTGGGGATAGAACCCACAACCTGGGCATATGCCCCCACCTGAAATAGAACCTGTAACCAGTGAGCCACACCTGGTGGGCTCAACCTTTTTTTGTTTGTTATTAATTAAATCTTTATTGTTCAGATTATTACATTTGTTCCTCTTTTTTCCCCCCATAACTTCCCTCCACCCAGTTCCCACCCCACCCTCCTCCCTCACTCCCCACCCACTGTCCTCATCCATAGGTGCACCATTTTTGTCCAGTCTCTTCCCGCATCCCCCTCACCCCTTTCCCCCCAAGAATAGCCAGTCCACTCCCTTTCTATGCCCCTGATTCTATTATAATCACCAGTTCATTCTGTTCATCAGATTATTCACTTGATTTTCAGATTCACTTGTTGATAGATGTGTATTTGTTGTTCATAATTTGTATCTTTACCTTTTTCTTCTTCTTCCTCTTCTTAAAGGATACCTTTCAGCATTTCATATAATACTGGTTTAGTGGTGATGAACTCCTTTAGGTTTTTCTTATCTGTGAAGCTCTTTATCTGACCTTCAATTCTGAATGATAGCTTTGCTGGGTAAAGTAATCTTGGTTGTAGGTTCTTGGCATTCATCACTTTGAATATTTCTTGCTACTCCCTTCTGGCCTGCAAAGTTTCTGTTGAGAAATCAGCTGACAGTCGTATGGGTATTCCCTTGTACGTAACTGACTTTCTTTCTCTTGCTGCTTTTAAGATTCTCTCTTTGTCTTTTGCTCTTGGCATTTTAATTATGATGTGTCTTGGTGTGGTCCTCTTTGGATTCCTTTTGTTTGGGGTTCTCTGCGCTTCCTGGACTTGTAAGTCTATTTCTTTCACCAGGTAGGGGAAGTTTTCTGTCATTATTTCTTCAAATGGGTATTCAATATCTTGCTCTCTCTCTTCTTCTGGCACCCCTATAATTCGGATGTTGGTATGCTTGAAGCTGTCCCAGAGGCTCCTTACACTATCTTTGTATTTTTGGATTCTTTTTTCATTTTGCTTTTCCGGTTGGGTGTTTTTTGCTTCTTCGTATTTCAAATCGTTGACTTGATTCTTGCAATCCTCTAGTCTGCTGTTGGGAGTCTGTATAATATTCTTTATTTCAGTCAGTGTATGCTTAATTTCTAGTTGGTCCTTTATCACAACATCGAGGGTCTCATTAGATTTCTTGTAGATCTCATTAAGTTTATCGGCAGTTTCTAGAAAATTCTTGAAAAACCTTAAAAGTGTGGTTTTGAACTCTATATCCAGTAGTTTGCTTTCCTCCATTTCTGTCATTTGTGTCCTTTTTCTTTGTCTCCGCATTTTTTATGCTTCCCTGTGTTGATAAAGTGGTTTTCTGTACTAAGTGTCCTCTAGGGCCCAGTGGCTCAGCCTCCCCAATTACCTGAGGAGGACAATCTTGGTGCTCCCCCTTGTGGTCTTTGTGCACAGTCTTGTTGTAGTTAAGCCTTGATTGTTGTAGGTATCACTGGGAGGAATTGACCTCCAGGCCAATTGGCTGTGAGAATCAGCTGTGTCTGCAGTGGGAGAACTTCTGTGCTGGAGACACCCCTCCGGGGCAAGACTTGCTTCAATGGGGCTTTGGTGCTCACTGAGTCTGCCCCCTGAGTGTGTCCTTTATGGTTCCACAGAGCTACAAACTGGATGGTCCCACTCTGACCTCTGGGTTTCCTGGCTCCTGTATCTCTAGGGAGGTGCTAATCTAGCCTTTGCCTGAGGCTATCCAGCAAAAGCCTCCCTGCACGGCTTGGGCGGGGCGGGTCCCACGGGATCAACAGAGCAGGGCTAGCAGTTATGGCTGCTCTCAGTCCTGCCTTCAGAGGCTCTGCTTCTCAATGTCCCGGTAATTGCTGCAAGCCCTCGGAGGGAAAGCTGCCCTTGAGTTCTGACCGATGCCAGACAGTCCCGCTTCTCCCTTATGAGTCTGGGTCCCTAGAGACTCGCCCGGAACTGGAGCTCAGAGCCCTGAGACTCCCTCCCAATTGAAAACGACAACCGTGCCCTCAGCCGCCAGCCCGCTCCGCATGCACCTCCGCACCTTAGTATTTTACTTCCGCACTGCGCCTCCTCTGAGTCTTGGTATGCTTTTCTCTTTCCTTCTAGTTGTAGAATTTCCACTCAGCCAGCCTTCCTGTGGTTCTGGGTGATGTCTGTTCCGTCTTTTAGTTGTATTTTTGAAGTGGTTGTTCGTGGCAGCAAACTCCGGTGTTTACCTATGCCGCCATCTTGGTTTCTCCCGCTCAACCTTTCTTATTCTTAATTTTTTAGATGACTTTTTGTAAAAAACATTTTTCTCCAGTGTGAAAAACTTGGTTTTTAAATTAGTGTATTTATTCCATTTACCTTAAATGTAATTTTGATGTAATTGTATTATTATATTTAAATTTACCATATTTTGCATTGGTTTCTATACATTCTCCCTGTTCAGTTTTTGGATTTTTTTTCCTTCTTACCTTTTTTCAATTTAGTTGAATGAATATTGTTTATTAATTAATTTTCCATCCTCTTCGTTTGGTATTTGTACACGTATTCTGTTCTCTCATTGATTGCGCTAGAGATTATAGTTTTAATTCTTACTAATTTAGTAAATTAGTACTTTTACTACTGTACACTTTTTAAATAATTCAGGGACAGTAGAATGACTCCATCTCCATTTACTGACTTTGATTTACATACTACTTTTTTTATGTATTACTTTGCTCTTTTTCAGGTTTCTTAAAATAGAATCTTAGACCATTTGTTTTAAACTTTTCTTGACTAATATCATCATATAAAGCTATAAATTCTCTCTATAAACTGCTTTACTTCTGTCCCCAAAATTTTCTGTTGACTTTTTATTTTCATTTAAATCAAGATATTGTCTTATTTCCCTTGTGATTTTTGTCTTTGATTAATAGGTTATATAGATGTATTCTGTTTAATTTCTGACTGTTCATTTTCAAAATAGCTTTCACTGTCATTATTATTACTGATTTTTAATCACATTCCATTATTGTCAGAGAACATATTCTATATGTTTTCAGTTCTTTTAAACTTATCAAGACTTGTTTTAGGGTTCAGTATATGGTCTTCCTTGATGAATGTTTCCTGCGACTTGAAAAGAGTATGTGTTCTATTGTTGGATATAGTATTTATTGATATCAATTAAATCAAGGTGGTTAACAGTGTTGTTCAAGAGTTCTCTATTATTATTACTTTTCTATGTAATTATTCTATGATTTCTTGAGAGATGAGTGTTGAAATTATCAACTATAATTATGAATATTTACATCCCCTTTCAGTTGTCATTTTTGGCTTCATGTATTTTGAGCCTCTGTTATTAGTTGCATATACGTATAGGATTGTTATATTTTCTTGATGACTCAGCTTTTATTTATCCATGGTCATTTAAAATTTCATGTTTGATATCTTTTTTTTTTTTGGTAAAGATTTATAAATTTATTAGGTCATCTGCAAAACAGATGGGCTGAGCCCAAAAATGGCACCAGCCTCAGGTTTGATATCTTTCTTTGAATTTCCTATGGCCCTGTTTTTCTTGGTTATTGAACATTGTCTCTGTTCTTCATATTCCTAGTTCTTTTTTTATTGTTGCTTAACATTTTTTAATCATGAGGGTTTTGGTTTTCTTTTTGCTGGGGGTCCTTTTGGTGGTGGACTTTCTCTCAGACTAGTGACTTTAACTGCAAAATAACCTATTTCCCAAAGTAAAATGCAATTATTTTGAAACATACATCCGAGAAGTTTTAGAAATAAAAAGTGAATAGCCCATGTACTTCTTTGAGTACAGAAATAACAAGATAATGCAGTAAAATGGCATAGACAAATTGAAATTCATTTTGTATAGACATATCAGTCATTTTGTATAGACATATCAGTATAAAAGCATTGGTTTCTTAGCCTGGAAAAGAACATTAAACAAGAGATTTTGACTCATCTCCTCTCACATACGGATTAAAAAAATAGTTTGTAGATACAGAATACTGGAAAGCAACTTCAATATCTGGGTTACCAATTCAGGAACACATAACTTCACCACTTGCTGTTTGATTTCCTTCTAGATATTGATTTACTCAGTAACTGTGTCTCTGGAGTGTCTATAAACAGGAAGACAGTGATTATGTGCAATTAACTAGTGGGATTAATGACATAATTTTAATGAGCATAAACACTTTCTGTATATTTTTCATAGCTATAAAGTGATCGGAAAATATCTGATTCATATTGTTGACAATGTCACAGATACTGCTAATATTACTATGGTTTGTCTAACATTGAGAGTTGAAGAAAATGCTAAGGAACTGCTAAATTTTAGTTAGAGGTTATGAACATGTCATTTTTTCCACTCATTCAAGTTCATATATGCCCTAATTTCTTTCACAGACTTTTTAAGGATCTATGGATCCCAAGCCAAGACCCCTTGGTTCAGAATGATAATGTATTGTATAAGTTCCTTAACTATAGAAAATCAAGCATTTATGTTAATGAATTAAATACACAGAATATAGTGATACCTATATGAACTAAAAAAAGTTTTACCATATGTGTGACTACTTTTAAAGTAATAGAATAGTTCTTTGAAATTGTCAGAATTAAGCATAACAATTTCTCATTATAGTTTTGGAAAGACATTGTTGATGATAATGAAGTCCGTGACCTTATTTCTGATAGAAACAAGTCTCATGGTAAGTCAGTAAGAAAAAAATTTAAATTACTTTGAAATATCAAAAATAACAAATGAAATATTAATGAGTATAATATATATTTTCTGTTGTAGAAGGTACATCAGGAGAATGGATTTGGGAGTCTTTATTTCATCCACCTCGAAAGCTGGGCATTAATGATATTGAAGGACAGCGGGTACTTCAGATTGCAGTGATTTTGCGAAACCTTTCTTTTGAGGAGGGAAATGTTAAGCTCTTGGCAGCTAATCGTACCTGTCTTCGTTTCCTATTACTTTCTGCACATAGTCATTTTATTTCCCTAAGGCAATTAGGCCTTGACACATTAGGAAATATTGCAGCTGAGGTAAGCATGTGACAGTAACTTGAAACAGTTTTAATAGTTAGTGACAATATTTACTTTAAATTTTCAGGATGTGGCATTATTATATTTGCCATATTTATAGCGTATTCAATGCTTACATATAGTTTTTGCCTAAAATGGTATTGTAGAAGTATCACACACTTTTATGGGTAAAAGAAATATGTGAAATGATGCTCCAAATGTAGTGGTGGCTGTGCTCACAGTAATTACATTTTTTAAAGTTATGCGATATTATTCTATTCACTTTTATTAAATGTGAAATATACTACATTGGAAGAGGCCTACCTCAATAATAGTGTCCTTTCTTTTTCCAGCTTTTATTGGATCCTGTTGATTTCAAAACTACTCATCTGATGTTTCATACTGTTACAAAATGCCTAATGTCAAGGGATAGATTTTTAAAGATGAGGGGTAAGTGCCCAAACTTTTTATCATCTGTTAAAAAACAAATACTAGTATAGCCCTGGTCTGGCTACTCAGTGGGTTGGGTTGCTGTGCCCTACACCAAAAGGTTTTGGGTTTGATTCCCAGCCAGGGCACATACCTAGGTTGTGGATTTGATCCTCAGTTGGGCATGTACAAGAAGCAATAGTTGACCGATATATCTCACATCGATGTTCCCCCCGCCTAAGATCAATTAAAATAATTTTAAAAATATGTCCTCGGATGGGGATAAAAAAAACCCCAAATACATTTTTTTATGTGTATGCTTTTCAGGAATGGAAATTTTGGGAAATCTTTGCAAAGCAGAAGATAATGGTGTTTTGATTTGTGAATATGTCGATCAGGACTCATACAGAGAGATCATTTGTCATCTCACTTTACCTGATGTACTGCTCGTAATCTCAACACTCGAGGTGCTATATATGCTCACAGAAATGGGAGATGTAGCTTGTACAAAAATTGCTAAAGTAGAAAAGAGCATAGGTAAGACTAAACCAAAGACACATGTAAGTTGTTTTTTTTTAATTGAGATGAAAATATGTAATGTGGTGCTATATGAAATCACAATTGATATTTGGGGTTTACTGTTTATTTTGAGGAGTCATTATCCTTTCAGACACATTTGTTTGTATTATTCTCTCTGCTTATTTTAGATGAGCAAGAAACTTCTATCATAATACAGTCCAGGATGTATGTGACTAGTAATCCCTATTCTCTTTATTGCTGTTACTATATTATTATGTGAAATTTGAAATCAACAGAACTGCTATATTTGACTCTCTGGGCAATAGGTCTTTCTAGTTCAGATGGTCAGCTGTTACTATTAAGCAACTAAAGTTAAGTAAAACAAGCTTCTTTTTGTCCCTAGAAGTTGCTGATAGTGGTACTATCCTTAAAACCAGTGAACTCACCTCCATGGCAGGTTATGAGTGTTAAATATACTTACTAAATGAAGTATGTCATGTTAACATTTTACTCAGTGATTCCAATGTTTTCTTTCTTTTATATAAATTTTAAAATCAGAGTTAATAAAGATTTTGAATGAAATTATTTTGGAGAAATTGTGTCACTTTCCATATAAGAGTTCCTGAGTCTGGCTACACATCAGAATCACTTGGGGAGCTCCTTAAAAATAAAGAAACCTAACCCCCACTTCAGAGCTACTAATCATTCTTTAGAGACTGAGCCTAAAATCTTTTTTTAAAGATCCACAGATAATTCTAATGTACAACAATTTATAGACTGGATTTGAGATGTAGTATTCTGTACAGCATGTGGTTTTAAGCAGTATGATTTTTAAAATAATATTATTGATTGATAACTATTGGTTTTTTAATTTATTTTAGACATGTTAGTATGTCTAGTTTCTATGGATATTCAAATGTTTGGCCCTGATGCACTAGCTGCAGTAAAACTCGTTGAACATCCAAGTTCCAGTCATCAAGTTTTATCTGAAATTAGGACACAAGCTGTAGAGCAAGTTCAAACCCAGATCCATGTAGCAGCTGCCCCAGGTTAGTGTTTTTACATATTCTTTTTCAGTGTGGTTATTGGTGTGTAAGATTTAATACTAAGGATAATTTTAGATGTGCACTTTGGGGAACTGAGATTTTATAGTAGAGTAGGCTGAAGGAGAACTTGAGTATGTACTTTAATTTCTTAGTTACACATTCCAGGAGCAGTATAATATAATAATATAATAGAGAGATGAAGTTAAGTGGCATTTTGAGGATTGTTAAGGATTAGATTCACAATTGTGAGAGCAATAAGAAGTGCCACAAGTGGGCTTCATGTGATTTTGGTCATTGGAAATTGATAAACTAGGAATAGGTTAATCATATATTATGTTATAATTTTCTCAGGTGGTCATCAGAATACATCAGGACAGTACCCCCCCCCCCCAATACTTCTAAATCTTGGCCCAAACACCACAGAACCAGAGCCTAGGATCACTCACATGTGCATATGTACACAAACACATGTACAAGCATGTATACTGGCATTCTGCACCCTTCCTAGAGTCCTTTGGGTAAATTCTGTTTAACTCAAATATATTTCATTAAAATTCGGACCTCTCTAATAACTAATATTCTCCTTGGAGTTTTTTCTTCTGGCTCAGTCATTATATTTTACCACTTTCAGCCTTTTTGTAGAGTGCTCTCTCCACCTTCATTTGTCCTATCAAAAACAATCCATCTTTTACTTTACCTGCTCTCCCACCTCTCACTATTCCCGAGACATTTCTCTTTTCTTGTATTTTGTTTTTAATGGAGGGTGCTCATTTTCTCAGTTGATCTTACCTCTGACTTTGCAGGTAGTATGCATGCTGTGTGGCATAAATTTCTTCAAACTTTTTAATCCTTCACTTACAAGCTTATTGTCATCTGAACTTTATTCTCTTTCAGCTTCCCCTTGTCATAGGAAGACATCTTAACTTCTTGTGAAGCTGTGCTCTAAATACCAGTCTTACCAATTTTCTCATTCCTATGCCTTAACCTCTCTCTTTGCCTGCTTCTTCATTTCAGGCTAGAAATACATTGAGATCTTTCTCAACCTCCTCCTACACTACCCTTAAAACCAAAATCTCATTATCCTTAATCTTTACAACATTCATTTAATCACCAAATTTTCTTGAGTCTCCTAAATACCTGGACTTCTTCAATTACCAGTGCTTATGACTCAGTTCAGACTCTAATCATATCTCTCCAGCCATCTTGTTCCCCTTTTATTTAATTGTGGTCCCAATCTCTATTTTACTATGATGGAATCAAGATTATATACTGTATTTACTCAAAGTATGTAATATGTCACATATTTCATTGATTTCCATTATGTTCTTCAGAAGTATATGGTAGATTTGTATCACATGTGCATGTAATTTGAATTCAACCAACAGACTGGACAAATAATAGAAGGCATGTAGTTTTGACTACTAATCTATTCAATGAGCTTTCACCCACAGGCAATAGATGTCAAATAGGTAGTGCATATTGGGGAATCAGTGGTCAGAATATTAATGGTTTCTCAACCTTTAAAAAGAAGTGAAATACTTCATATTGCCAATTAAGTAAGTGGTGGAGGTCTATGTTTATCCTCAAAGAAACTGAAGATTAAATTAATTGAGGGCCATAGAGAAACTGTCCAACCAAGAAAGGAATTAATAAATTACCAGTGATACAGAGTCATAATGGACTATTTGAAAAATATTCAGGGGTATTTTCGATGAATGCTGCTATTTTTTTTGCCTTGTCACTAACCTGTGACCTTAATGAATGAACTCAATAAGATTTGGTCCTCATTTGACAAGTGGATGAAATTAAACATTGAGTTTTTTTATTTATGTAGTCATTCATTTATAGAAGGTGTGAATAGGTCTCTAAGGACTAAAAGAGTTCATTTTTGATCTAGTGAGCACTTTATTACTTGCTCATTATGAATGACAGCTTTTTTAATTATTTGATTAGTTACCATTTATAGTTTTGCGCACACCCTTCACCTCTGCCCCCTTAGTTTAATACAGCTTTCTTAGGGAATGGTCATCTTCAAACTTTTCCCTCACTTTCTCTCATCACTATGAAAAGTTAAGTAATCTTTCACCCATTTTTAGGTTGACATCTAAATTTCTTCACCATAATCCTACAGTATTATTAAGAATGGGTGAGATTTAAAACTTTCTGTTCCAAAGTTGGAGAAGAGCAGTTATCAAAGAGGAGGTGATGTGTTCAGGCAACACAGTTTTAGGAAAGAATATATACAAAAGTTGAGTATCTGTAAATTGATGCCTTTTAAAGTATAAGTTCCTTATTGCCCTGGCCTGGAGGCTTGGCTGGTTAGAGTGTTGTCCCGGTGTGCCTGGGTTGTGCCTTCAGTCCCAGACAGGACATGTGCAAGGGGCAGCCAATGGATGCATGGATAGGTGGAGCAGCCTGTCCCCCTGCCCCCAAACCTCACTCCTCTAAAATCAATAAAGAAAAAAAATTTGCAAAAAAAAAAAATGCTTTTAATGTATAAGCACCTTTGTATCCTTTGAAAGGTCTTCAGGTATCCTGAGAAAAATGCTTCTCAGTTTGTAGCCACTTTCATAGTAATTCTGTTTCCAGATTATATTCTTAATTTAACTGTGGCTGCATCATTCTTCCTTAATTATGTTTGTAAAGTTTCTCATAATCCTAACATAATTTTTAATGTTTCATGCAATTGTTAATTGATTCAGTATATTTTTAGTCTAAGTAGGGTATACTCTCATGTACAGTTGGTGAAGAAAAAGGAATATTTCTACATAGGTCCAGGCCCTAGAAAGGTATTTTCTGTAACAGTGTTTTCAGGTTAGGAGGAGAAGAAAAGATAAGCTGAGGTTGCACTAGGAAAGTAATTTTGGTTCTAATTATGTTCTATTAAGAAGCAGCAGCCTCGCCCTAGCCGGTTTGGCTCAGTGAATAGAGCGTCGGCCTGTGGACTGAAGGGTTCCGGGTTCGATATTCCGGTCAAGGGCATGTGCCTTGGTTGCGGGCACATCCCCAGTAGGGGGTGTGCAGGAGGCAGCTGATCGATGTTTCTCTCTCATCGATGTTTCTAACTATCCCTCGTCCTTCCTCTCTGTAAAAAAATCAATAAAATATATTTAAAAAAAAAAAAAAAAAAAAAGAAGCAGCAGCCTTATGATCCAGTAATTCCACTTCTGGGAATTTATCCAATGAAACCCAAAACACTAATTCAAAAGAATGTATGTACCCCTGTGTTCATTACAGCATTATTTACAATAGCCAATATTTGGAAGCAGCCCAAGTGCCCATCAGTAGATAAAAAAGCTGTGGTACATCTACATAATGGAGTACTAATCTGCCATTAAAAGGAATAAAATTTTACCCTTGTGACAGCCTGGATGGATCTGGAGAACATTGTGTTAAGTGAAATAAGCCAGTCAGAGAAAGACAAGTACCATATGATTGTACGCATATGTGTAATTTAATGAACAAACTGAACTTCCAAGCAAAATAGAGACAGACTCATAGATAAAGAGCAGGCAGACAGCTGGGGAGAGAAGGGGATTGAGCAAAAAATAAACGAAATAGAACTCATGGACATGGACAGTAGTGTGGTGATTGCGGGTTGGAGGGGATGGGTGGAAGTAGAAGAGGGCATAGAGGGGATAAAAGGTGATGGAAATATTTTAATTTTTAAATTTTTAAAAAAGAAGCAGCATATTGTCCTGGTGATGTAGCTCAGTTGGTTAGAGCCTTGTCCCCATACACCACCATTTCAGGTTTGCTCGGGGCACATACAAAAATCAACCAATGAATGCATAAATAAGTGGAGCAACAAATAGATATTTCTCCCTCTTCCTCTCCCCATCTCCCTCTCCCCCTCCCTTCTCTCTCTCTCTCTCTTTCTCTCTCTCTCTCTCTCTCTCTCCCCCCCCCATCAGTCCATTAAAAAAAAAAAGCAGCAGCATATCACAGTATGAACTCTGAAATGTAATAAACCTGGATTCAAATCCACCACTCCTAGAAGAAGGCTTTTCATCTACACCAGCTTTGCTGTTTTCTATCATGTGTTCCTTTGTGAACTTAGTCTCTGAGCTTTAATTTTTTAATCTGCAAAATGGGGATAATTAAATTTAGACCTATACATAATAGTGAACCAAATAATGTAAGTGGTTTATTACAGAGTAAATGTTCACTAAATGACTGCTATTAGCTGCTATTCTAATGTGGGGAGGCGGGGGCTGATCAAACAAGATCAGAATTGCTTTCAATCATTCACAGATTGGCTGTGCTATGGAGTGCCTCTACTTCCAGTAACTTAGAAATGCATTTGTTCTGTTTGAGGATTCTGAGAAGTTTTGCTAAAATGTCACCTGCCAAAAAGTGGGTTCATTTTATAAGTTTAAAAATTATAAAATCATGCTGATTCAGTGGTGAAATAGTATAATATAAATAGTTCATATAAATATGTGAGATTCATATTATATATAACTTATATGTTTATATTAACTCATATTTTTAATGTTTTTATTTCCTTTGTTATATAGCATAGCATTTCAGCTTTAAGTTGATCTTATCTCAGAAATTTTATATATGCCACTAATAGAGTCAATATTCATCTTTTAAATTTAAAAGAGATGTAATTTCTGATACAACCTGCTTCTGTAACTAAAGTGAGAGGTGCTTATTTACTGATAAGCTGAGCTTTGTGACTTTGGGTTAGGTATTGTAATCACTTTGAGTCTGAGTTTCCTTATCTGTACTCATCTCACAAAAGAATTAAGAAAGATAATGAATGTAAAGTATTTAACCTAGTGCCTGACCCATGGGAGAAAGTTTATATTAGCGATATAATCCATATTATTGTTATTATTTGAATGATGGTAAGGTTAAAAAAAATAGTTCATATAAAGCATCTAAGACAGTGCTTGGTATAATATGTGCTCCATTATAAGTTTCTTTCTCAAATTTTTACATTTTCATTATGTTTATATACCTTTTTAAAAGGTATTCATTGTGAATATTATTGCTTCAGTATCCATGAACTAAATATGTCATATAATGACTAAATTTTTAAAAGTGATGTAAATGTATTTTTTTCTTTAGCTTCCAGAGCAGTTGTAGCACAGCATGTTGCTCCACCTCCAGGAATAGTGGAAATAGATAGTGAGAAGTTTGCTTGTCAGTGGTAAGTGGTTTATTTCTATTAAGGCTTTATCTTTGGGAAGAATAAAACAAAAGAGAAAAGGAAATGTATTTCAGCAGTCATCCTTTTCAATTAGAATAGAATATCATTTATACGAAGAATGGACAATGTAAAACTATTTCACCTATATTTTGGAATTATTTGAAAGAAAAATATTTATCAGAATCTTCAGAATTATAAGTCTTTGACTAGAATTTTATTAAATTACACCACCTAATTTCAGAGTAAAATTTGTGTTAAAAAATTATCTTTGACTTTGTAGAAAATAAAGTTTGTCAGATTGTAGAATTTGTTTTTCTCAAATTAAGGTTTTATTAAACTAAATTGGACTGACATTAAGAAAATAAAACCACACTTTGTTAAGTGTCTCATCTTTTTCATCAAAAGCAAAACTTCTTATTCATTGCTAGTTAATTTTTTCTTTTTGTGAGTAAGGGAAACTAATCAAATGATAGACTAGCCAGTTTGTCTATATTGAATGAAATGAGCAACTTTGAAAATAATATTTTCTTGAGAAGATTGAGTAGTTATATCTCAGCCATTTTCTGAAGAAAAAAAAAAGTTCGATTTCATTTTGTCTTAGATAGTTGCCTCTACATTATTTATGAATTTTAACTTAATTTATTTAGAAGATTAACAGATTGAAATGAAGGTTATTTTCCTGTGAAGTATTACTTTTAGAACTTTCTTTCCTTGATCCCTTTCTCTATTCTCCAACATTATTTGTTTCCCATTCCATACTCTGTCATTCTGTGTTCCATATTTTTGGTGCTTTCATATCTTTGTTCCTATGACAATTTTCTCTAGACTTTTCTACTTTACTTAAATCAGGTTTATGGTTTTAAATATCTCTAATTATTTGCTTTCCACACGTTCTATATAGTTATACAATGACCCTTTATACTTGATGAATCTCTTCCAATAATGTTTGGAAATGTTTATCTTCTACATTGAAAACTAAAAAAGTTTTTTGTGTATAGTTGTTTTGAAAACTCTGTACTCAAAGGTTTATGAAAGTTGAAAAAAGTATGTACCGAGAAACCAAGATGGCGGCATAGGTAAACACCGGAAATTGCTGCCTCACACAACAACTTCAAAAATACAACTAACAGACAAAACGGACATCATCCAGAACCACAGGAAGGCTGGCTGAGTGGAAATTCTACAACTAGAAGGAAAGAGAAAAGCACACTGAGTCTCTGGGGAGGTGCGGTGTGGAAGTAAAGTGCAGAGGTACGGAGGCGCACGCGGAAAGGGCTGGCAGCTGAGGACACGGTGCACGTGCAAAGGGCTGGCAGCTGAGGATGCGGCACACATGGAAAGGGCTGGCAGCTGAGGACGCGGCGCACATGGAAAGGGCTGGCAGCTGAGGACACGGTTGTCTTTTTCAATCGGAGGGAGTCTCAAGCTCCTGACTGCTCTGAACTCCAGTTCCGGGCAAGTCTCTGGGGACCCATACTCATACAGGAGAAACTGGACTGTCTGGCAGCGGTCAGAACTTGAGGGTGGCTTTCTCTCAGAGGCACTTGCAGCGATTACCGGGACACTGAGAAGCGGGGCCTCTTAGGGAAGGACTGAGGAGCAGCCATAGCTCCTTGCTCCACCCTGTTGATCCCCAGAGACCCCGCCCCACCCAAGCTGTGCGCAGAGGCTTTTGCATATGAAAGGCCTGGCCCTTTGCAATCTGAAAATTACCTAATAAACTGCAGCTGGGTCAGAAAAACCCATAACTTCCAAAAGAAGGCCCAAGGCCCCACAGCAGCTTGCATTGCTTCACAGCTGGGCTCCTGCTGGGTAGCCTCAGGCAGAGGCTAAATTAGCACCTCCTTAGATCCAAGAGCCAGTGTAACCAGTGGTCAGAGTGGGACCATCCAGATTACAACTCCTCAGATCCATAAGGGACACACTCAGGGGGCAGACTCAGTGAGCACCAAAGCCCCACCGAAGCAACTCTTGCCCCAGAAGGGTGTCTCCAGCACAGAAGTTCTCCCACTGCAGACACAGCTGATTCTCACAGCCAATTGGCCTGGAGGTCAATTCCTCCCTGTGATACCTACAACAATCAAGGCTTAACTACAACAAGACTGTGCACAAAGCCCACAAAGGGGTGCACCAAGAGTGTCCACCTCTGGTAATTGGGGAGGCTGAACCACTGGGCCCTATAGGACACCTAGCACAGAAAGCCACCCTATCAACACAGGGAAGCATAAAAAATGCGGAGACAAAGAAACAGGTCAGAAATGGAGGAAAGCAAACTACTGGATATAGAGTTCAAAACCACACTTTTAAGGTTTTTCAAGAATTTTCTAGAAACTGCCGATAAATTGAGTAAGACCCTCAATAAGTCTAGTGAGACCTCCGATAAATTTATTGAGACCCTCAAGAAATCTAGTGAGACCCTTGAGGTTATGAAAAAGGATCAATTAGAAATTAAGCATACACTTACTGAAATAAAGAATATTATAGAGAGTTCCAACAGCAGACTAGAGGATCGCAAGAATCAAGTCAAAGATTTGAAATATGAAGAAGCAAAAAACACCCAACCAGAAAAACAAAGAAAAAAGAATCCAAAAATATCAAGATAGTGTTAGGAGCCTCTGGGACAACTTCAAGCGTACCAACATCCAAATTATGGGGGTGCCAGAAGAAGAGAGAGAGCAAGATATTGAATACCCATTTGAAGAAATAATGACAGAAAACTTCCCCTACCTGGTGAAAGAAATAGACTTACAAGTCCAGGAAGCGCAGAGAACCCCAAACAAAAGGAATCCAAAGAGGACCACACCAAGACACATCATAATTAAAATGCCAAGAGCAAAAGACAGAGAGAGAATGTTAAAAGCAGCAAAAGAAAAAAAGTCAGTTACCTACAAGGGAGTATCCATACGACTGTCAGCTGATTTCTCAACAGAAACTATGCAGGCCAGAAGGGAGTGGTAAGAAATATTCAAAGTGATGAATACCAAGAACCTACAACCAAGATTACTTTATCCAGCAAAGCTATCATTCAGAATTGAAGGTCAGATAAAGAGCTTCACAGATAAGAAAAACCTAAAGGAGTTCATCACCACCAAACCAGTATTATACGAAATTCTGAAAGGTACCCTTTAAGAAGAGGAAGAAGAAGAAAAAGGTAAAGATACAAATTATGAACAACAAATACACATCTATCAACAAGTGAATCTAAAAATCAAGTGAATAAATAATCTGATGAACAGAATGAACTGGTGAATATAATAGAATCAGGGGCATAGAAAGGGAGTGACTGACTATTTTTTGGGGGGAAAGGAGTGTGGGGGGTGCGGGAAAAGACTGGACAAAAATCGTACACCTATGGATGAGGACAGTGGGGGGGAGGGGGGTAAGGGCAGAGGGTGGGGTGGGAACTGGGTGGAGGGGAGCTATGGGGGGGAAAAAGAGCAACAACTGTAATCTGAACAATAAAGATTTAATTCAAAAAAAAAAGAAAAAAGTATGTACCATATCCACTGTAAAATGTGTGGTGTTAGGTATAAATTTGGTCTTATAAATCTCAGTTGCACATTTCTGCCACTTCTGGGGGGAGGGGAGAGACTCTTTTTGCCATTATTTTATCATACTTATTATTTGATGCAGTTTACAAGAAACAGTTGTAAGTTGGCCTGTTATATGTGTAAGTCCTAGAAAGAGTCCTATAAGGGTAACTAGGCCTCTAATCCTAACTTGTAGGTGGAAATCGCTTTATGAAAAAGACAAACTGAAGTTTGAAATAATCTATAAGAATAGATTCTCTGAAGTGGGGAATGAGAGTGTATAGCAATAGCTCATAATTGGGAACTTCTGTTATATTTTGATTATTACAAGACAGGGACCTGAGTTTTATTTATTCACTAAGTAAAACTATTTGTTGCAGAATATTTGTTGCCAACAGACCAAATCTGTTCTTGCTGGAATATGAACACAGTTTTTATTTTGTTGTTAATGATGTTTTACACTAAAATCAGTATGATTAAATAGTTAATCTCTTTATTTGATTTAGTCTGTCTAAAAGATAGCATGTATTTTTGCTAATAATATATGAAGCAGTAAAATTTGACTAGGCATAATTATTAGTTTATAATACATTGCCTTCATATGGTGTAGCATACTTAAATATAGATTCTCCTATAGTGTATTGCATAATGCAATTTATTTTTCTCCTCTTTTAGGCTAAATGCTCATTTTGAAGTAAATCCAGATTGTTCTGTCTCTCGAGCAGAAATGTATTCTGAGTACCTCTCAACTTGCAGTAAATTAGCTCGTGGTGGAATCCTAACATCAACTGGATTTTATAAATGTCTTAGGTAGGATTCATAGTTCTTAACTTTAAGTAAAGTTAATTTACATCACTTACAACTCTTCTTATTCTTGAGAAAATACCATATATATATATATAGTTTTAAATATCTTTACTACTTAAAATTTCATATAATTAGGTTGTTAGTATGGTGGAAGTTTAAATACAGGGCAATTTTGGACATCACATCTGGTGTTTATGTTTGAACATTATGAGGTTTATCAAAGAAAGAGAAGGAAGAAATTCAGTTTGCTTTTTTTCTGCCTACTTTTATATGTTAAAGACATGACTTTTGCCCTTTTTAATCTTGAATAATAAGCTATAACTAACACTCTTCAAATATTAAAGTTCTTTGACATTTTACAAAATTCATAAAATAGGCATTGCCTAGATGCAGCTTTTTTGTTAATTATATATGCAGTAGAACTGTTTAAAACCCAACAATGTTAATAAATAGTTATTTTAAAAACTGGAGAATTGATCTTTTATATTTCTTTCTCTGCTTCCCACCCTTGCAGAATATAGCTGTTTGAATCACACTGATTTTTACCTAAGTAGCAATGAGTAGATTGCTGCTGTTGTGTAAACATTGTTAGAAGTTAGTGTTTTTTGCTAGTGTGCTAGTAATCAAAACTGAGTATTGTGTACTTTACAGAACGGTGTTTCCAAATCATTCAGTGAAGAGAGTGGAGGATTCCAGTAATAGTGGGCAGGCGCATATTCATGTAGTAGGAGTAAAACGGAGGGCTATACCACTTCCCATTCAGATGTACTATCAGCAGCAACCAGTTTCTACTCCTGTTGTTCGTGTTGATTCTGTTCCTGATATATCTACAAGTCCTTCACCTGCAGGTAATAATTTTTATTGTTTTAAATATTACCAAGTTAATGAAATGTATATTGTATACATTAAAATGTATAACTTTTCCTTGTTTTTCCAATAGCATTTTCTGTTATTTAATCATATGATGCAAAGTTGTTAGATATTAATTTCTTAAAACTATTTTCTTGTCTTAAGTAAAACAATTCCTACATGCAGTTTTCCAGTCATTTCATTATAAAGTTTGACTTTTCCCCTATATTTTCAGGAATCCCTCATGGACCACAAACTGTAGGAAACCATTTTCAGAGGACTCCTGTTACCAATCAATCTTCAAATTTGACTGCAACACAAATGTCTTTTCCAGTACAAGGTGTTCATACTATGGCACAGACTGTTTCAAGAATTCCACCAAATCCTTCAGTTCATACCCACCAGCAACAAAATGCTCCGGTGACTGTCATTCAAAATAAAGCTCCAATTCCTTGTGAAGTTGTTAAGGCTACAATGATCCAGAATTCTATACCCCAGACAGCAGTTCCTGTTAGTATTGCTGTGGGAGGAGGAGCTGCACAGAGTTCTGTGGTTCAGAATCATAGTACAGGGCCACAGCCTGTTACAGTTGTAAATTCCCAGACATTGCTTCATCATCCATCTGTAATTCCACAACAGTCTCCATTACACACCGTGGTACCAGGTCAGATACCTTCTGGCACTCCTGTTACTGTAATTCAACAAACTGTCCCACAGAGTCATATATTTGGCAGAGTACAGACCATGCCAGCATGTACTTCTACAGTTTCACAGGGTCAACAGTTGATCACCACATCACCCCAACCTGTGCAAACTTCATCTCAACAGACATCAGCTGGTAGCCAGCCACAAGACACTGTTATCATAGCACCCCCACAGTATGTAACAACTTCTGCATCTAATATTGTGTCAGCAACTTCAGTACAGAATTTTCAGGTAGCTACAGGACAAATGGTTACTATTGCTGGTGTCCCAAGTCCACAACCCTCAAGGGTAGGGTTTCAGAACATTGCACCAAAACCTCTCCCTTCTCAGCAAGTTTCATCAACGGTGGTACAACAGCCTATTCAACAACCACAGCAGCCAACCCAACAAAGTGTAGTGATTGTAAGCCAGCCAGCTCAACAAGGTCAGACTTATGCACCAGCCATTCACCAAATTGTTCTAGCTAATCCAGCAGCTCTTCCATCTGGTCAGACAGTTCAGCTAACTGGACAACCAAACATAACTCCATCTTCCTCACCATCACCTGTCCCAGCTTCTAATAACCAAGTCCCTACTGCCATGTCATCTTCTTCTACCCCTCAATCACAGGGACCACCTCCTACTGTCAGTCAAATGCTATCTGTGAAAAGACAGCAGCAGCAGCATTCACCAGCACCTCCACCTCAGCAGGTACAAGTACAAGTTCAGCAGCCACAAGTACAGATGCAAGTTCAACCACAGCAAACAAATGCAGTTGGTCAGCCTGCTTCTGGTGAGTCAAGCCTAATAAAACAGTTGCTGCTTCCAAAACGTGGTCCTTCAACTCCAGGTGGTAAGCTTATTCTCCCAGCTCCACAGGTTCCTCCCCCTAATAATGCAAGAGCTCCTAGCCCTCAGGTGGTATACCAGGTGGCCAATAACCAAGCAGCAGGTTTTGGAATGCAGGGGCAAACTCCAGCACAGCAGCTGTTAGTTGGGCAGCAAAATGTTCAGTTGGTCCAAGGTGCAATGCCATCCACAGGGGGAGTGCAAACCGTGCCCATCTCGAACTTACAAATATTGCCAGGTCCACTGATCTCAAATAGCCCAGCAACCATTTTCCAAGGGACTTCAGGCAACCAGGTAACCATAACAGTTGTGCCAAATACAAGTTTTGCAACTGCAACTGTGAGTCAGGGAAATGCAACTCAGCTAATTGCTCCAGCAGGAATTACCATGAGCGGGACCCAGGCAGGAGTTGGACTTCAGGTGCAAACACTTCCAGCCAGTCAAGCATCTCCAGCTGGACAATCATCTTGTACTACTGCTACTCCCCCATTCAAAGGTGATAAAATAATTTGCCAAAAGGAGGAGGAAGCAAAAGAAGCAACAGGTTTACATGTTCATGAACGTAAAATTGAAGTCATGGAGAACCCGTCCTGCAGACGAGGAACCATGAACACCAGCAATGGGGATACAAAAGAAAATGAAATGCAGGTGGGAAGTCTTTTAAATGGGAGAAAGTACAGTGACTCAAGTCTACCTCCTTCAAACTCAGGGAAAATTCAAAGTGAGGCTAATCAGTGCTCACTAATTAGTAATGGGCCATCATTAGAATTAGGTGAAAATGGAGCATCTGGAAAACAGAACTCAGAACAAGTGGACATGCAGGATATCAAAAGTGATTTGAGAAAACCTTTAGTTAATGGAATCTGTGATTTTGATAAAGGAGATGGTTCTCATTTAAGCAAAAACATTCCAAATCACAAAACTTCCAATCATGTAGGAAATGGTGAGATATCTCCAATGGAACCACAAGGGACACTAGATGCCACTCAGCAAGATACTGCCAAAGGTGATCAACTAGAAAGAATTTCTAATGGACCTGTATTAACTTTGGGTGGTTCACCATCTGTGAGCAGTATACAGGAGACTTCAAATGTGGCAACACAGCAATTTAGTGGTACTGATTTGCCTAATGGACCTCTAACTTCAAGTTTGAATTCAGATGTGCCTCAGCAACGCCCAAGTGTGGTTGTCTCACCACATTCTACAACCTCTGTCATACAGGGGCATCAAATCATAGTTCCCCACTCAGGATCAAGAGTGTCCCATTCTCCTGCCCTACCATCTGATGTTCGGTCTACAAATGGCACAGCAGAATGCAAAACTGTAAAGAGGCCAGCAGAGGATAATGATAGGGAAACAGTCACAGGAATTCCAAATAAAGTAGGCGTTAGAATTGTTACAATCAGTGACCCCAACAATGCTGGCTGCAGTGCAACAATGGTTGCCGTGCCAGCAGGAGCAGATCCAAGCACTGTAGCTAAAGTAGCAATAGAAAGTGCTGTTCAGCAAAAGCAGCAGCAGCCATCATCATACATACAGAATGTGGTCCCACAGGTAAGTCATTCTACTGTTACATTGCTCTTTTAAAAATTCTGATCTGGAAATATTATTTTAGGGGAAAATGTACTATTTTTCTGTCTCACCTTTAAGTGTTAACTGTCAGGTTATCAATGTACTCAAGCTGTTGTTTTTCTCGGTTTTTTGTAATGTTAAACAGTTTTCAGTTAAACCTGTGTGCCATAAGAGGGACACTAGTGTGCCCCAATAATTTTTAAAACATGTAATACCTAACTATTTAGTCAGGAGGACCGACCCTTTTTCCCTTAGATTATCAAATAAAAAAATGACAACGGCCGACACAATAGCCGTCTGGTGTGAATGAATCAAATTTATAACTATTCTTTTGTCAAATGGGCCGCAGAATTTTAGGAATTAGTATATGTGTGCCATGAGATGAAAGCGGTTGAAAATCGCTGACTTAGCATATAGTTTAAAGACTCTATTTTGTTATAAATCCAAATTAGTAATTCTGTAGACCCAAGGTGGAGAAGCACTTGTAATCTAATCTTTTGGAGAATTTTTGAAATGTAATTGTCTCTTGGAGTTTGGGGTGGCGTAGTGTTGCTGCTAAGAGTACTCCAAAAGGGAATTTCTGTATTTGATTTTGACACGTCTGGGCTTTTTTAAAGCTCTTTTCATAGTACTTCTGTAAAAAGGATGAATGCCATAAGAATTATCAAGTGTGTTCTTGTTATATTTATGTATTGAATCAGTAGCCTTTGTTTTTTTAAAAATATTATTTACTAGTATAATTTCAATTTGTTTCAGCTATTTGATAATTTTAATTTTGTGTTTCTTATTCCTTTGCTCTACTGTCATGTTTCTGCTCTTCCCTTTTTAATATCTTCTATTCCATCTGCATGCCTTTGTAAAGAAATGTGTTTTCTAGGTCAGTGCTACTATATTGAGGGTTCAATTAGCCTATAAAGACTTTAAGGACAATCCTATAAGCTACTTCTACTGAAACTAGGGATTCACTTAACAGTTGTGTCTCACCTATTTCCTGGATCACTTCTCCTTCACTCTTTCTTTCTTAATTATTACTACATAGCCAGAACCTTCTGTGACTTGCCAACTCGACTAGCACTCTCCTGGCTTGGGTTTCTTCTCTGTGCTTATGGTGATGATAGCAGATCTATGGTCGTTATTAGCATTAGTACTAAACCTAGGTGTGGGGAAAGGAGAGGAAGCAAACAAAAAATGAAAGAACAGCCTAGCCAGTGATGGCGAACCTATGACACGCGTGTCAGAGGTGACACGTGAACTCATTTTTTTGGTTGATTTTTCTTTGTTAAATGGCATTTAAATATATAAAATAAATATCAAAAATATAAATCTTTGTTTTACTATGGTTGCAAATATCAAAACATTTCTATATGTGACACGGCACTAGAGTTAAGTTAGGGTTTTCAAAATGCTGACACGCCGAGCTCAAAAGGTTCGCCATCACTGGCCTAGCTAGTTTGGCTCAGTGGATAGAGCGTCGACTTGCGGACTGAAGAGTCCCAGGTTTGATTCTGGTCAAGGGCATATGCCCAGGTTTTGGGCTCGATCCCCAGTAGGGGGCATGCAGGAGGCAGCCAATCAATGATTCTCTCAGATCATTGATGTTTCTATATATCTCCCCTCTCCCTTCCTTTCTCTGCAATCAATAAAAATATTTTTTTTAAAAAGATGAAAGAACAGAGGATCCCTTGCTTCCGAATAGTTCGTCCATAATATATATCTTTGTTCATGTGAATGGATAAAGCTGGACAATGCTGCTCTGGGGGCATAATGAGATTGTAATCCATATGTTAGTATTGCTTAGATGTATTTCAGGGTACCTAAATACGTTAAGTATTCTTTAATGGATGTTGTGAACATGGCAATAATTAATATTGAGTTTGGATGGAAAATACTAAATCATCTTTACTCAAACTTCTACAAATTGAGTTTTTTATTAAACACTAAAAAAATGTTAGTGTAATGTCTAGCATGTAATAAACATTCAATTAGTTGGGTTTTTATAATTTTCTTATATTTAATAATCTCCCAATTCATCTTGATTATGTGCCTGCTGTTCATTCCCTGTATATTCCTTTATAATCCTAAATAGTTACTATAGAGTAAGCCAAATTAGAGAAAAACTGCATTACTGTGGAATTGTTTCAACCCTTATTTTTTGTATCTTTAATCTTTCAATGTGATTATATTCCATAATGATACCTAAGTAACAAAAACAATAATAATAGCTAAGACAACAACCTGTGCTAGGAACTTTGTATTAAAGCATTTTCTCATTTAATCTTCACAACTCTACTAGGTAAAAATTTTAATTATATTTTAGAGATGAGGTCCCAGGACGTAAATAAGTTACCCAGAGTCACCGACATGTTGACTTCATATTGTTCACCACAAATATGAAGTGGTACAAGGACTGAAACCTGAGTGTGTATCTGAAACCAAAACTTACTTCTCCATTATTCTAAAAGGTTCCTTTTTAAATTCTAGAAAGCCCTTTTATATCTAACATACTCATTAATTGAACTATTATGATATAGGATGTGAGTACCATTAAATGATAATTTTAGAACATTAATGCTAAAACTCTTAATACATTGGACTTATATGCATCTAATTTGAGCCATAAAAGTCATCCATTTATTCCTAATCTGGGTATTAAAATTGTAGTGTATTTCTAAAATTGGCATTTGGTTGGCATGTAGAAATTTAAATATTTGCTAGGAAAAAGAGATGTATACATGGTGTCTATGAGAATGAGAATAAAAAACCAGCATTCTTATGTATAGTACTTAGCACAGTGCCTGCTACATAGTTATGGTGCAGGTAATATTTTGTCTTCCTGTATAGGATACTGTTAAAGATGACATCATAGGTTTCCTTTGAAGGGTAGACTGTTGGGCCTTCTTAAGAGCCTGCTAATAGCTCTGGCTGGGTAGCTCAGTTGGCTAGAGCATCATCCTGATAACACCAAGGTTGTGGGTTCGATCCTCAGTCAGGGCACATATGGAAAGCAACCAATAAATGGAATAGCAAATCGATGTTTCCCTCTCTCTCCCTCTCCCTTTCTTCTCTGTCTCTTTAAAATCAATCAATAAAATTTTTTAAAAAGAGTCTGCTAAGAGAAAACCATTTTCATTGTTGCCCAGATTCTTTAAATTACTTTATATACTCTTAAAGTTGCATTTTAGACCATAGTTTAACACCATTTTACATTTGAATTTGTTCCTTAAAAGAGTAGATGAAATAGAGGATTTTAAATGTGAATTTTTTTTTTTTAGCCAAACATTATTTTCACAAGTTTAAGGGATCTGGAGATGTTAAGGAGGCATCTGGACCCCAAGAAGGGATTTCCAGACTTGCAGAATGCTCGGGTGTAGAAAGTCTACAGGAAATGTCCCTGCTGAGAATGGCCACAGCTAATCCTTTCTAATACCATAGTTATTTGATTTTTTTGAGTTTATTCCTTCTCCTATTAATCAGCTGCATTAATTTAATTTCAGGAAAAATTTAGCAATAGAGAACAATATATGAAAGTAAATTGTATGATCATAGATTTTGTATTTCAGTAGTATTTTAAATGAGTAGTTTATATAAATACAAAATAAATTATACTTACTTCAAGGCAAATTTTTTATTCGTAGTTACTTAATTTCATTCTGTTATATTTGCTAGTTAAAGTGCAAGATACAGGAAACTGTTTCTCGAAATGCTACCCTCTTCCGCTCTTTAGGAATTGATATCTTCTGAAGTTATAAAGAAAAAGGAAAAGTGAATTGAAAAACGAAACATTTTAGTTTACAAATACTTACCTAAAGACTTGTCTTTCTCAGGAGCATGTAAAACACATGTTGAACATGCCTGTATCTATTAATTTCATGGTCTGATGATACGCCAAATTCTTGTATGTAAAAACAGTTTACTTAAGAATGTGCCTATTTAAAGTATTTTTTATATGTTACTCCCAGTTCCCTGTCCTTCACACATGAATCTTTCCTAAAATGGTACTGTGTAAACTGAATATTGGTATCTTCCTGGTTCCTTTCTTTGTGTACTAAACTTCTATGTATTCTCATCAAGAATGTAATTTATTGAAAATAGCACCATTCTTAATTTCTAAAATTGGTATTTAGTTGACATATAGAAATTTGAGCTTAAAAAGTTACTCAACTCATCAGCAAGCAGATCTGTAGCCTTAAAGGGGCAGCATAGATCACTTTAGCAAGAATTGGGAGAATAAGATTTGGGGTTTTTATTTTTAGAGTACTAGTGTTCAAATTTATAGACCAGAATTACATAACTAAGGAAGACATTACCACTAAACAGTTTTTTTGTTTATATCTCGGTGTGTTCTTACAAGAGAGGCTTGGAATGTATTAACTTGGTTTATATTTAACAAGAGAAAAAAACTTCATAGTTTAAGAAAATGAGGGAATGTTAAAGCAGGAAGAGCCTGAGTTGTTATCTTGTACAAAATCCTCATTTTTAAGTGTTGAAGTAAATTTCCCACCTACACAAAGAACATCTGGTTTCCCATGATTTCTATTGTTGTCTTAATTCTGTCTGAAGATCTGTACATTTAGACAAAGTTAGAGTAAATCTATTTCTTCTTCTCTATAAGTGTTTAGAACTATCTCTTCTTACTTCGTCATTAAAATGCACTTTACCAGTTCCTTCGGTTAGATCTTAAATATCCTGGTGTCTGGTTTATTCATCATCTTATTTACCATAACCAGTTTCATTTTATAAATGATTTCAAAATGTGTACTTAGAATTGAACAAAGAAAAATTTATTATTTAATAAAAATGATTTTGAGAAAAATAGATATGGCTATAGTTTTTCTAACAGATTGAAATGTTTAAGTTTTAGAATAATCTAAATTTATTTTAAGGTCTTTAAAGTTTAATATTAATTAATAAGAAAGTAAGGATTTAAGAGCCTGAGATTCCAAGTTTTATATCAGGAAATAGTGTAAACGAGAATTTTCAGCCATAATTTACTCTTGAAAAGGTGATAAAGGAAAGCAAGATTATAATTTCTCATTTTAACAAAGAGCAGTATCTTTGCCAAAAACAACAACAACACACCTGCTACATTAACTAACATTTCATGTTAATTTTACATACACGAAAATCACAGAATTGTTACAAATCTGTTGTGTAATTTTACTTTTCTGGTCACTCACTGTGGGAGTTGTGCCTTTTCTGTCTTGATTAAAAGAAGAAACTAATAGTAAAAATTAGCTCTTTCTCAATAGAGTAGAGCATTGATACAGAATATTCTTCGAGAGTAACCATTCCAAAAAACATCTCTTGGAAATCTACTTTACATTTACATTTACATTTCAGTTAGGGATACAGTTAATGATTTGGCAAGTCACTGCAAACAAGAATGTAAAGAAAAAGTAAACTTTTATATCCAGAAAGAAATATATTTTGCATTCTTATGTAAACGACCTACTTCTTAACCCTTTGTGGTCCAATGTTATTTTTGGAATTCAAACAGTCTGGTCCAAATTAATTGACGGGATTGAATGTTGAACTTTTTAATGTTATTATTGCTCAACTTTGGACCTACTCCTAGCGCCTGGTCTGTTGAGTCAGCCTCGAGGTTGGACCGAAAAGGGTTAAAACAGAATTTAAATTGTACTTTGAAAAATATGCAGTACAATACATTGTCAGATACATGTTTCCAGCATTAATTTGTGTTGATAGACATTTGTAGTTGGTGATCTGTCACTGTCCCCAAAGCAAAATCAATCATCTTTCCTCCAAAATTTTGTTTCCCTTCTGGACTTCTCTATTAGAATAACAATAATAGTAACACTTGCCATTTATTGAGAATCTAGAGCTAGGCTCTTCATGTATAATTTCTTTAGTCTTCATAAGGCAGATTTTATTGCTTACACTTTATAGAAGAGGGAACCGAGGATCAGAGAGAATAAGTAGGTTGCCCAAGGTCACAAAGCTAGTTAAAAGGCATATTGATGAACAACATAAACTGATGAACAAAAACAGATCCAGAGACAGAAACATCGATCAGATGCTCAAACCTCAGAGGGAAGGTAGGGGAGTGAGGGAGTAAGGGGGAGAGATCAACCAAAGGACTTGTATGCATGCATATAAGCATAACCAATGGACACAGACACCAGGGGGGTGAGGGCATGAATGGGAGTGGGGTGGGGAGGCAATGGGGGGATAAAGACACATATGTAATACCTTAATCAATACAGAAAAAAAAAGGCATATTGAAATTTGAGTCCTGATCTGTCAAGCTGGAAAGTTCACATCTTATCCATGACACTCCTGCATTGCCCTAACATGCATGTTTTTCATGCATTCTTAAGGGTGGGATCCTATTATAGAAACAATTTCATCATATCCCAAAAGTGGATTGTTTCTCCTTAGAGCTTGGAACTCATAGTATTGTATGAATTTACATTTCTGAGAACTTTTTCAGCATTTTATTTTCTTCCTAACTTTTATGCTATGCAGCCTTATATGCTTGTGTTTTGTCTACTTTTTAAAAAAATTATTACGACTTTTTAATCTGAGACTTTCAGAAATTTTAAACTAAACTTTACCCAACCATTTTCAATATTTCCTTATAAATGAACAAGTATATTTTCTCAAAGTTTAAATTTATTGTCTTTAAAGAATGCTTTGAAAATGTGCCACCATTTCTAGGAGAAATTTGGTATTTTTCCCTTTGTCATTTTATAAATGAAATTTAAGTTAAGGATTCAAAGAAAATGTATTGCCTCAAATTGTTTTAAGCTACATTATAATTATTTATGTATTTTTCAGAGAGAAAGAGATATAGAAGGGGGGAACACCTTATATTTAAAAGGCTAATACTTACAGTTAGGATCCTTTCAATTGTATTATTCATCAAAATTTATAACTGAGCAACTTTAAAAACTAAAGTTGTTAGTTAAAACATCTTACTGCAAAATAAGATTGACAACATTTTACTTAAATGGTTACATTATTTTTTTTACTCTGAAATTTTCTTTGCTTCCTACTGTACACTGCTTTATGTCACATTTACTACAAAATCTAAAAGGAAATATGCAAAGAAATAATAATTTGTAGTTGATTTGTTCTTGTGAAGAATGCGTAAGTAAATCAAATGGGTGCATTTATAGTCATTTTAATCTATAATTGTGTGTTGCTACCTAATTTATTAATATAAAAAATCTTAATTCTAAATAACATATATTCTATAACAATAACAACAATGTGATCTTGCCTCTGTGGTCAAATGAAATAAAGGAATCTGACTTCCTAAATATTTCTGTAAAAATAGCTATCTTAAATAATTTTTTAAATTTAAAAAAATATTTTTAAAAGATAGTCATTAAAACTACAAATGTAAATTTCATGTTAGAAGTGCACAACTATCAACATAATCAAACTTAGAAGCTTATTCTATAAAATATGAATGTTTTCTAATGTCATCTCACAAATCATGCGGTTGTGCTTTTCCACAGAACACTCCTATGACGCCTTCACCAGCTGTACAAGTGCAGAGCCAGCCTAACAGTTCTCAGCCTTCTCCATTCAGTGCATCTAGTCAACATGGGGATTCAGTGAGAAAACCTGGACACAACTTCATGTGTCTGTGGCAGTCTTGTAAAAAGTAAATGGCAATTTTATTTAATATACATAAATGTTCTTTGTTTTAGAATGCTTTTACATTCCAATTTCTGTCATCTATAGTTTATGAAAATTTTCGTTTTAAACCATTTTTAGCAAAAATATTTTATGCTAATTTAAGAGTGATGCTTACATAGATCCAGTGGCACCTAAGCTAAGAAATTTATATAAATGTCGGAAAGAGCTTCAATGGTAGGCTGTTAGGGAATGTGTTTCGATATTAGCTCTTTTTGTTTGTTTTGCTTTTTTTGTCCTAGCATCTGACATATGTTAATACCAGATGTGAGTCATGTTATTTCCAAGGTTCTAACAAAGTAATTTGCAGAAAGTCATTAGTATGTTTGTTTGCTTTTGTTTTTTAATTCATTTCATTTCATTATATTTTTATTTTTAAATTATAGTTGATGTACAATATTATATTAGTTTCAGGTTTATAACTCCATGATTAGACACTTATATAATTTATGAAGTGATCACCGTAATAAATTTAGTACCCCTCTGACACCATATATAGTTATTACAATATTATTGACAATATTCCCTATGCTGTACTTTATATCTCTGTGACTATTCTATACCAATTTGTACTTCTAAATCCTTTTACCTTTTTCACCCATCCCCTAAGCTCCCTCCCCTTTGACAACCCACAAAATGTCCTCTATATCTATGAGTCTGTTTCTGTTCTGCTTGTTTATTTTGTTTTTTAGATTCCACATGTAAGTGAAATCATTTGGCATTTGTCTTTCTTTGTCTGACTTATTTCACTCAGCACAATACCCTCTTGTTGTGGATCCATGTTGTTGTGGATGGCAAGATTTCATTCTTTTTTTATGGCTGAATCATATTCCATTATATAGGGTGGGGCAAAAGTAGGTTTACAGTTGTGAGTGTGCAAAACAATTTATTCTTACATTTTTATTTATTAATTATTTTCCATATGAACAACCATAAAGCTACTTTTGCCCCACTCTGTATATATGCACCACTTCTTTATCTGTTTGTCTATTGATGGACGCTTAAGTTGCTTCCATATTTTGGCTGTTGTAAAAAATGTTACAATAAACATATAAATATATGTCTTTTTGATTTAGTATTTTGTGTTTCTTTGAATAAATACCCAGAAGTGGAATTGCTGAACCTTTTTTTTTCTCTTTTATTGTCTTTGCTTAAAGTCTATTTTGTCTGGTATAAGTTTTGCTACCCCAGCTGGTTTTTTATTGTTCGTTTCCATTTTCATGAAATAACTTTTTCCATCCCTTTGCTTTCAGTCTGTGTCTTTCCATCTGAAGTGAGTCTCTTGTAGACAGCATATGTAAGGGTTACATTTTCTTTTCCATTCAGTCACCCTGTGTCTTTAGAGCATTTAATCCATTTGATTTGCATTTAAAGTAATTGTTGTCCTGGCTGGGTAGCTCAGTTGGTTAGAGTGTTGTCCTGATACGCCAAAGTTGCAGGTTCAGTCTTTGGTCAGGGTACATACAAAAAGCAGCCAGTGAGTGAGTGAGTAAGTAGAAAAACAAATTGGTGTTTTTCTCCTTGTGTGTCTCTCTCTTTCCATTCCTCTCTCTCTCTAAAATCAATAAAAAAAGTTATTGTTGATAGATATGCATTTATTGCCATTTTATTATTCATATTTTTAATCATTTTCTTAATGAGACCCTTTAATATGTCTTACATACGAGTTTGGTGGTGATGGATCCCTTTAGCTTTAGATTCATATCTAGGAAGCACTTTATGTGTACTTTGATCCTAAATGATAGTTTTGCTGGGTAATTTTGGTTGCTTTTCATTACTTTGAATATTTCTTGCCAATTACTTCTGCCCTGCAAAGTTTCTGTTGATAAATTAGCTGACAGTCTTATGGGAGCTCCCTTGTAGGTAACTAACTGCTATTCCTTGCTGCTTTTAAGATTCTCTTTTGTCTTTAACCTTTGCCTTTTTAATTATGATGTGTCTTGGTATGGATCTTTTTGGGTTCATCTTATTTTGGACCCTGTGCTTATTGGACTTGTATCTCTTTCTATTCACCAGGTTAGGGAAGTTTTCTTGTAATTTTTAAAAATAGTTTTTAGTTTCTTGCTCCTCTCTCTTCTCCTTCTGCCATCCCATGATGTGAATGTTGATACAATTGAAGTTGTCCCAGAAGCTCCTTATATTATCCTCATTTTTGGGGAATCTTTTTTCTTTTTGCTATTCTGATTCAGTGTTTTTTGTTTCCTCATATTCCAAATCATTTATTTGATTCTCTGATTCATCTACTCTACTATTGATTCTCTGTAATTTCATTTCAGTTATTGTGTTCTTTGCTTCTGAAGGGTGCTTTTTTTTAATGTTTTCTATCTCCATTTTTATTTCCTCTCTCTTTGTTGAAGTTCTCACTAAGTTCATCTACTCTTCCCCTACTTTCATTGAGCATCCTTATAACCAATGTTTTGAACTCTTGACTCTGCATCTGATAGATTCCTTGTTTCCATCTTGTTTAGTTCTTTTTCTGGAGTTTTATTCTTTCCTTTCACTTGAGACATATTTCTTTGTCTCCTCATTTTGGTTACCTGCCTGTGTTTGTGTCTATGTGTAGGTAGAGCTGCTATGGCTCCTAGTCTTGGTATAGTGACTTTATGTAGTAGGTGTCCAGTAGGTTCCTGTGGCCCTGCCTCCCCAGTCTCCTGAACTGGGTGCTCCAAGTGTGCCCTCCATGTGAGCTGTGTGCACCCTCCTGTTGTAGTTGTGCCTTGATTATTGTTAGTACATTAATGGGAGTGATTTACCCCCAGGCTGACCCCACAGAGCAGAACTCACTTTAGCAGGTCTCAGATACCCAGTGAGTCTACTGAGTTTGTTGATCATGGAGGTAGTGGGTGGTGCTTCACCATGGTGTGAAGCTGTCTATTGGTTACATTGGATCAGTGCCTCCTGGGAGGTAGAGGCCAATGTCAGCCATTGCTTGTGCCCTGCCCAGGGCCACTGGGCATGAGCTTCAAAATGATCTGCAGCTGGCTACTACTTGTGATGGGCTTGGAGGTGTCCAGAAGACGCCAAGCTGTGAACCAAGGGTGCTAGTGCCAGGCCTGGGGTTACTTAGCAAAAGGTACAGTTATGCAGAGGGCAGATGCTGCTTGTTTGAGAGACTTTAGGAAAGTCTTTTAGGAAAATTGGCAGCACGAGCCAAGACAGGCCTTTTGTATGGAAAAGTCTGAAGGGCTTGGGTGGGCCCGAAAATTGGGTTGGGTGGGGTCTCAGGCAATCATCAAGGTGGGGCTAACTGTTAAATTAATCAGGTTGATGGAGAATCAGATATAGCGCCTGCCTTCGGGTTCTTTGGGGGAAGGGCTCAGAAAAGGAACAATGGCCTCTGCCAGCACCTCTGTCTGGGAGAAAGCTGCCCCTCCAGCTCTTGACCTGATGCCAGACAGTTCATTTCCTCCCCATATGTCTCCAGTGGCAGTTGAGCTGCTTTCCTAGCGTTGGAGCTCAGAGGGAGTGAGCCCAAGTACATCTGACTGCACCCTTTAAAAAGAATGCCTTATGTCCAGCTGGGGTGGCTCGGTGGTTGAATGTCGACCTATGCACCAGGAGGTCAAGGTTTGATTCCCAGTCAGGGCATATGCCTGGGTTGCAGCCTTGATCTCCAGTGCAGGATGTTTAAGAGGCAGTCTTTCAATGTTCTCTCCCATCATTGGTGTTTCTATCTCTCCCTCTCCCTTCCTCTCTGACATCAATAAAAACATTTAAAAAAGAAAAAATGCCTAGGATTCCAGCAGTACTTTGTCTCAGCTACAATCTCTGCTGGTTTTCACAGCCAGAAGTTACGGGGACTTCTCTTCCCAGCACTGGAACCCTGGGCTCGGCAGGGCCAGGTGTGGGTCTGGGACCCCTGGCTCCCCAGGAAGGACCTCTGCTGCTGAGATATCCCTCCAACTTTTTAACCACAGGTGGGTTGGGGACCAGCCCATTCTGCATATCTTTCCCTCCTACCTCAATGTGGCTATTCTCAATATTTTTAAATGAGTATTTCTGTTCAGGTAGATTTCAGGTGGTTTTGAAATGGTTGTTCGGTAGTGTAGTTGTAATTTTGATGTGGTTGTGGGAGGTTACGAGTACTGCATTTACCTACATCACCATTTTGACTGGAAGCCAGGTATTAGATTTCAACGAGAGAATCTGATTTTTTTGTTTGGCTATGAAAAGAGATCGTTTTTTTTTTAAAGTGACTATAAGTTAGTGGACACTGAAGAATTTCTATATATTGAAACTTAAAGTTAATAATCTGTTAGGAAAAATGACTTGTCTTAAATTTGAGTTTGGGATGGACAATCCATGAAACTTCTTTTTAAAGCCATAGATCTCACAGTTTAATAACTAAGATGAATAATGAGTAGAACTGAACTTCTTAAGGCTTTCTTTGACTTGAAGGAAAACTTGAAAATAATACTGTTTAAAACAAAATCTTAGTTCCTTTAACATACTCAGCCAAGAACCTTTGCCATGTCACACTTTAGAGTTCTAAGACTAATGTACTTATCTTAATGAAATAATATTCTCATCTTTTAGATATCACAGATGCTCTTTCACTTTTTCTAACTGATAGCAGAAATCAGATCCTTTTAAAAATTATATTTGCTCTTCATAATATTTATCTTTAGACTTTGTATTTCACTGTGAACTTCATATATTGTTGTATGATTGCGGCTATCAATATAGCCCAGGGATTGTTAGCAGTATGAAAAATTTCTTTGGACAGTGTTTCTCATTTTAAAATCTCAACCCAGTAGTGGGGTCATGAAATCATTTGTTCCGTCTCTACCAGTGAGTTTTTGCCTCTTTCCTTTGCAATTAAAAATGAATAAAATATATCAGAGTCTATTCATGTTAGTAAGGGTAAGTATTGTTTCCAGTTATATGTGTATATTACATACATATATATGTGTGTGTGTGTGTGTGTGTGTGTGTGCGCGCGCGCGCTAGATCATAGTGTATAATCTG